TAATGAATTCGATTGTTTGCTGGTGGTATTATCGCCCTACTCCCGGTAATAACGGCCAATCGGGGAAAGGGAAGGGCGCCCGCTGTTACATTCGAAATATATAAATGGACCAATAACTGTTATACCGCTATTCAGTCGAGTCCCTCGATTCACCAGTAGTTGACAAACTGCTTCTCTTCCTTTTTCCTCCCCCTTTTTTTCTTTTCGCCACCTCCGACTCACTCGGCACTCACCACCGAGCATAGCGCACTATCGTCCGAAAAATCGCAGCGCTCGCATTATTCCACGCATATTGAAGGTAAGTCACACGCATGTTGTCCCAGCTTCAATCGCGCGAAATTATCTAAACCAATAAACCGAAAATTAAATCGTTCATTTAATTGATTGTTGCCTCGATAGATGTATACTGTATAATTTATCGGCGATACGATACTTGATAGCTCGCGAATTCTCTCTGTGAGAATGAATTTAAATGTGATTAAACGCAACATTTTATCTTCTTCGGGATGGTAGATTTCGCGTTTTTATAATTTTTCGCAAGCTCAATTGTCAAAAATTCTTCAAAGAAACAATCGGATTGCTTCGAAATCGGTTTACCAATTGTAATGTAAACATAAGCATAAACATCTTCATAAGCATAAGCGCGACAAAAGATTTCTTTTCTCTTGTAAATCTCGCGAGGAGATCACCATCATCGGATAAAAGTTTTCGGCGTCGAATCGAAAGCTTTCCGGCGAAATAAAGAAGTAAAGAAGTAAGAAGGAAAATTAAAGAGTAAAGACATCCGCATCAATGGAGCGTACCTTTCGCGCACGTGTCGTTTCGGTCCGCTTCCCTCTCCATTGCAAGGTGGCTGAGGCAAACCAATCCGGGTTAAAACGGCTGATGCAATCAGGACGGAAGAGTACATCTATCGCTCTCATTCGCGTATCTTTTTTTCAGCGGTCGGCCGAGACACGAGATATTAAGGCGGTTGCTCGAATCGGTGTAAATTAATCGCTACTTATTCGCGCGTGCATACAGGGTGTTTCCTCGCTAAGCGCACCTCTGAGTCAGCGCTTCCCTCTCTCGCAAGAAGGTATATCTACATAGTTCTCTAATCGTGAGCGATCGAGGAGTTTTTTTGTCAACTAAGCCACGCATGGGACGAGCGAACGATAAGATTCCTTCCTCCGTTATTTTCAGATAGAATTTTTGTACTTGAACATAATTATAGATATATATGTATTCGTTGAAATACAGCTCAATTCTCCAAAAGATGAAG